ATTCATTGAAATTAATAATAATAATAAATTTTTTAAAAAGCTATCCCTGAAAAAAAAGAACAAATGCTGCATAGTGCATTAAGTTTAAACTAGCAGACATAATGGATAATCTAAACAAAAACAAAATCTCACAAAACACAAAAACGGCAAAAATAAAGCATGACAGGATTGTTTTCAATCAGTGTTATGTTGCCCTCTTTCAAAATGACAGGCAAAATCTTACTTGTTTTTACATTTGCATCCATACATATATTACTGGAAGAAGTTTTCGTCGCAGTGACATTCCATGTGAATAGTGTAAAGCATACTGTCTGCAAAATACATGTCACAGTGCTGGCAGTGGTGCCGAAGCTGAGGATCATGGGCTGGCAGAGTTGACAAGGGAGTGCTGGGCTGGCTGTTTCGGAGGCTGGGAGTGCTGGTGCAGGTACTTGGTTCGCTGCTGGGCCCTGCCATTGTAGTTCCTTTGTGTGGTAGTCGTGGGTCAGGGCTTGTGGGAGAAAAGCTCTAAAGGATGCTGGCTGACACAGCAGAGGAATGGAAAAAGAATACAATACTGGTGCACTCCTTTCTCAATTTTAAACCATGCACTGTGCTCCCCTACTCTGTTGTTCACACAACAGTCTTCTGGTCCAGGTGTTGGTTCTTCACTAGCAAAGAGCATGCTCTGGGACTCCCATTCTTCCAAGGAATGTTCAAGTGCTCTTCTCCAACACCACAGCTCAAAGGCGTCAATTCTTTTTCTATCATCCTGATTCACTGTCCAGCTCTCAGGTGCATAGCAAGTGATCGGAAAGACTATGGCCTGAAACTGGCATCATCATTCCTCAATAATTTGGAGAGGTCTCTAATTATAGATTTTCCCAGGACAATGCATCCTTATTTCCTGACTGCTGGTACACTAAGGTACTCATTCATAACCAATGTTAAGTTGTTGTTGTTGTTGTTCTGTGCTGTCGAGTTGTTTGCGACTCATAGCGATCCTATGTACAACAGCCCTAAACCCTGCTCTATCCTGTGCCAATCGCATTGCCTCTGACACACCCATCCCAATTATCCCAGTCAATGAATCAATCCCCTCATAGAGGGTCTTCCCCTCCTGCGCTGTCCCTCCACCCTACCAAGCATGATGTCCCTCTCCAAGGACTGGTTTCTCCTTACAACATGTCCAAAGTATATCAGACGAAGCCCCAGAATCCTTGCCTCCAAGGAGCAGCCTGATTTAACCCTCTCCAGGATGAATCTGCTTCTTTCCTTGGCAGTCCAGGGTACATTAAATACTCTTCTCCAACACCAAAGCTCAAAGGCATCAATTCTCCTTCTATCTTCCCTAGTCATTGTCCAACTCTCTGATGCATAACAAGTGATTGCAAAGACCATGGCCTGTATCAGGCGCACCTTAATCTCTAGACACTGTTGCTCTTGAGTACTTTAGAGAGGTCCCTAACAGCAGACTTTCCCATCACAATACATTTTTTTATTTCCTGGCTACTGGTGCCAAGAGTGTAAACCGTGGAGCCAAGCAAACTGAAGCTGTGAACAATCTCAATCTCTTTGCCATCCATTCTGATGCTACCAATTGGTCCAGTGGTGAGAATCTTAGTCTTCTTGACATTGAACCTCAGTTCATACTGAAGGCTGCAGTCCTTGACCTTCTGCAGCAAGTGCATGAGGTCCTCCTCAGTTTCACAAGCAGGGTTGTGTCATCTGCAAACACAGATTGTTAATAGATCTTCCACCAATCCTGATGTCACACTTCTCCTCATAGAGCCCAGCCTCTCGGATAATCTGTTCTGCATACAGGTTGAGAAGGTATGGAGATAGGACACATCCGTGGCGTACAATGTAAGTAGATGATAAAAACTTACTTGCTGAAATTGAGGAGGGCTTGAAGTACTTGTTGCAGAACATCAAGGATTGCAGCTTTCGGTATGGAATGCATCTCAGTGTCAAGAAAACAAAGATTCTTACCACTGGACCAATAGGCAGAATCATGATGGATGGAGAAGAGACTGAAACTGTCAAGAGCTTCATTTTACTTGGATCTGTTTACATTGTTGTTATTGTTGTTGACTGCCATGGAGTTAAGCATGACTCAAAGCGACCCTATGAATAAAAGACCTGAAGCCTTTCTGTAACTATCGTCATTTCTCAATGTTCACAGTCTCCAGAGGCATGTAGTTTAGGAAGTGGATGCCACTCCTGCTTCCAAGCTTGTCTTTAACTGGGAGTTCCACCAAACACTGTTGACCATGGGTAATCGTTATGGCATTTGACATCGCAATGGCATAAGGTTCAGTGTCACAGCAACCCCAGGTTACCTCAGTACAGCAAACTGACAGAAGAGTGCTGCAAGCACCACTTAGAAGAGTGTTCCTCTTTCAGGAACTGTGGTGGGTTTTTTGTTTTATTACTGGGGGGATGCGGGAAGGGAACAATACAAAAAAACTCTCAAAGCCTTTACCATGATTTTAAAAAACTGCACTTGAAGCAAATGAAGGTGACTCTGATGAGGAATTTGTTTTTTAGCATGAGTTATTCACACAAAATGAGGGCAAATTTAGATAATAAAAGCAAGTACAAGGTGTTTATAAATCCAATGGTCATATCCTAGGTATTTACTCTAAGAAAATGATTGTTTATTCAAAGAATATTGACAATAATTACTGGATTACTACTATG